AAAAAAAATGTTTTTTTTAGTATGGTTTTTTTTAGCTTTATGACATATTCTCATTGATTCACATATTTTCCGTAAAGTAAGTGCTCGGTTCACTGCCTTATTTTGGTAATAAAAGTACCAAGGGAACATACACCAACCACACGAAAACAGTTTTCGTAATTTGAATGTAACATTATTTTTCAGGTTGTATCCAACAAAGCGTTGTGGTATAAAATTCAATTGAAACAAAGGTATGCGCAAAATTATCTTCAAATAAAATTGTTTTAAATGTACAAATAAAATCTTATATGGACATATACAGTACAATGGTTAATTTATTACGGTTGCTTAAAATTAAAAGAATTCACGCAATGTTTTATTATAGTTGTAGCAACAATGAGGTTCGGAGTATATACAAATATCTAGTAGGATCAAATTGAATTCAAAATGAACTTAAAGTTGATATACTGTAGATTGATTTTGCAATGAAGGTAAATTATTTACTATTTTAAAAATGCAACTCGCACACTAGGCGGCATCGACTTCAGTGAATATCTGAAAAAGTTTACATTAATTTGGAACGTCGAGCGTCAGTATTTTAAAGTCCTGAATGGCGAAGGGCCATGCCATTGTCACATCCATTATGCCGTAAAAAGATTACACAGGGAATGTGGGCCAAGCCATTGAGACACTGCAAAGAATGAATTGTTTAGAAGCCTTCAATCATTCCCATTGAAGGAGGCGCTAAACTTGATTTTAATAGACTCGGTGTCGCCTCGGTCGAGTCATTCGTTTTTAATTTTATCCCATTGACTATTTCTTACCTGCCTGTCTTTGAATATTGAAGTCGGTAAGTAAATTTAAATAACCATATCCAGTTGAAAAGTAATTAAAATCGAATATTTTACCCTAAAACATAAAGACGAAAAACCTTTAACAAACATAAAGTGTATTAAATTGAAACATACTTTGTTTAAAATTAAGTAACAAACAACTTTACTTAACTTCTTACTGTTTTAAATAACACTATTATAAGTCTACTTCAAATTAATATTTCTTAAAAAAATGTAGGTTATACTTCGAAACACATTGCCCTCTTATCAGTCGGGCTTTAAATCCCTCAAATCTTTGAAATTATGGACCACCCAATGCATTGCTATCATGACTATAGCTAGATTACAAACGTATATAGCATAGATATATTTCACTAACGTATCCCTAGAGTCCTATAACTTCACACATACAAAGTAACAATGCTCCGAAAATACGAAAAGAAAATAATAGCGATCGATCATTTTAGTACAGATAATACAAGTGAATTCGCAAAATATAATAAAATTGTGGGAGTGATACAAGGAAGCATAAAGTATTCATACAAAAGCTCAACGGGCGTGCTCACAAAGCGATCGTCAAATAACATTTAGCCAGCCCACACCTTAGAAAATCGCAAAATAGAGACATCTCCAGTACAAAGACGTATGAGACACACCCGTAGACGATAATTACAACCTTTGTTGGTTTATTTTGTGATACTAAAATGCTACTTACAAAGAATCCAGAGACATCTATTGTTAATATTTAAAAATAAAATAAAAAACTTTGATCGAATACCTAAAATTCATACAAAATATCTTGACTCAATTTATGTATCTGGTCAAAGAACTTATAATATAAAGACAAAGGCCATTAAACTAATAAAAAAAAAACAACTTTAAAGTCATATCAAATTATGTTGACTAATTCAATATGCTTTCTACTTCATATCTTACAACTTTCATTAATAATGTCTTTCGCAATAAAAATAACATTATCTCATTTTCCTATACATACTAGTTATTAAAATGCAAATTTCCCGCTCGCAATGTACTCATTCAGTCGTAACGTAACTAGTAATCGAACAAGAGGTTCATTAGCCAACAAATATGTTGCCAATATTTATGTAAAGTTCATACAACCGGCAGATACGTCGCTTGGTGGTCCGTCCTGCACTGGATAAGTCTTTGATCGATAAAGTTGTAATTTTAATTACTAAACTGGTACCGAAGCTCGTTTTAAAAGGGACCGCGGCACAGGTCCTCCAATGAGTCCTAAACATAACCATACACATACAGATAAGCGTGCAATTATTGATGACAAATATTCGCAAAGTATCTTACAATGTTTTAAATAAAAATGCTAATGGGGATATGAAAATTCCTTAACATTCAAGATATGGATTCTAAAACTGTGCAGTCGGCACAAGTCATACGGATCTATGATGTGAGGATGAACGCACCTTGACGGCCACATGTATGCAATCCTTTCGCATCTGCCGGGCTTGCACTGATTTTTATTTATGAATAATATGACGAATTATGACCGGCCTTTTATTTGCGCTGCCACCTTTCCGGATGTACTTCGGCGGCGGATGTTGCCTTTCCTATAAATTTATGTGTCGCCGAGGTGTTAAAATTTTGCTGAGTAAGTTTACATTTGACATAAATATGGTTACAAATATTATTTTATGAATTGTGGTGTGTGGTGAGTTGAATAAATATGCTAATTTAATTACATTGAAGCAAATTATTTATATACAAAAAGAAACTAAGAATATGATTGTAACAAGTCCTTAGTAGGTTTTCCTTTCATCTGTAACATGCGATTTACGTAGAATTGACCCAAAAAAAGACCAATTTAAACATCTTAAAACCACTCTATTTGATGTTACAGTGTAGAGATTACAATAACAGCCTTATAAAGCACGCGCCTATCAATCCTCCACGGGGATATCTTTTTAATAACGTTACACGCATCGTGGTCCATAGAATTGTGTATTGTGCAACATTGCCACTATTGACATGTTACTTGGCCCGCGCCTTTTGTAGTACATCACTTTTGGTCACAAAACTAAATGCAAAATAATAAGACGAACATTACAAGATAGCTAATGGTACATTTAATGTGGTTATTTATGTTTTTAATAAGATTATGTTGGTGTTTGTATTCAGTTCTACTTCTCTTAATGTATTTATAAAACTAGTAGCTTTAACGGTGATACAAACTCTCTCAAACAGTCTAACAGAATCATTAGATTCCAGTACATTTTATGATTATTTAATAAACATAAATTTAAAAGGTAATAGATTCTTTACCTAAATCGTATTTTAAAAATTTTATACTTATTAAAACTTTACCACCAAAGGCGTCTAATTTTCTATATGTTTCACTTTAGAAATAATAAAAAAATATTGATATTACATTTAATGGAGTTGAAGAAATTAGAAAGTTAAATGCGTTTTTTTTATGAGCATACTTTGAAGAGTTTATCAGGTTTTCACGATCCGCGGCGCGTCCCGTTGTGAAATGCAAATTTAAACAAAATTAAGAGTCAATAAAAAGCGAATAAATCGATTTATTATTGTAGAAGTAAACAAATAGAGTTCAATTATTGAATATTATTATAATGAACTGTAATTTACTAAAATGCACTTTTTTTTTTAAACTGTATTTTGTTCATGTACCCTAAGCTCTTAGCTTCCTGATACGTCACGACGCACACATTCTCCGTTAACTGTCTCCGTTTACGCTTATTTCTCTTAAATTTTTCTTCTATCATAGTTCGTATCAGAAGCCTTGGCATCTTTTATCTTCTGTTAGAATTAACAATCGTTATAAATTATAAATAAATATTAAATTAATTTGAAACTAGATACAGTATACTTTCTCTAGTAACAAGATAATTTGACATTGTCTCAACAAACATTTGTCAATATTAAAACAAATCATCACTCTTATCTAATTAATAGAATTATTCAAATTATTTAAGCAAATAAGCATATCATTACAAATTAA